ACAAATGTGGTGATAGCAGCATGGAAGTGATACCTCACAGTTCCTGAACTGACTGATAACCAACAGAGGTGGCCATATCATTTTCCTTGGGTCAATTTTGCTATTGGCTGGTGGATTTTGAGTTCCAGTTCCCAAACTGTGTGCCAAAGCATCCTAGGGTGCTACATCAAGTTCCCAGGGATTTTGCAGGTCAGATACCTAACTGGTTCAAGGTACTTGAGTTTCAGCTTAGATGGCACCATATTCCTTCAATGATATCATACCTTCCCAGAATCAAAGGCAAATACAGGTGACAATTGAACAACTAGGAGATTTTTTTTTTTTGAGACGGAGCCTCAAGCTATCCCCCTGGGTAGAGTGCCATGGCATCATGCTCACAGCAACCTCCAACTCCTGGGCTCAAGCGAGTCTCCTGCCTCAGCCTCCCAAGCAGCTGGGACTACAGGCGCCCACCACAACGCCTGGCCATTTTTTGGTTGCAGCCATCATTGTTGTTTGGCGGGACCGGGCTGGGGATTCGAACCCGCCACCTTAGGTGTATGTGGCTGGTGCCTTAGCCGCTTGAGCCACAGGCGCCGAGCCCAACTAGGAGATTTTTGACTGCCAATCTCCCCCTAGTCAAAAATCCAAGTATAACTTCTGATTCTCTCAAGTCTTAACTACTAACAGCCTACATTTGACTGGAAGCTTTGCTGATAACATAAACAGTTGATTAACTCATTTTTGTATGTAAGGTATATTATATACTAAGAAAAAAAACATTAAAAAGATTCATTAAGCAGAATTGAATCATCATAAAGGACTTCATCCTCCCTGTCCTTAAGTTGAGTAGTCTAAGGAGGAGGAGAGGGCTTGGTCTTGCTGTCTCAGGTATGGCAGAGGTGGAAGAAAATCCTCACAAAAGTGGACCCATGCAGTTAAAACCCATGTTGTCTGAGGGTCAACTGTACCGTAAGAACATCAACTTGGAACAAGAAGTCAGGTATTGTTTTCTGAGTGCAGGCAACTCTAGTCATTTAAGAATGAAATTAAGATATTATTTGTTTCTTTGAACTGATGAGAATTCTTTTCTAAATAGCTGCTAATTATTAAGTCATTTGAACCTAATTACTTAAAAAAAGCCATTAAGTATTTTATTTAGCCTGAGGAGCTACAGAGGCTGCGTTAGGGGCTGAGATGACAAAGTTTTGAGCTCAAAGGATCCTACCCCCTGTAAAGACAGTATCCTGCAGAGTGATCCCCTAAAAGGCAGGTCAGAGAAGCTTCTAGAAGAGACTAAGCACTCAACGGGCCTGGGGGTGAAGGTGGAGAGAGCTCTTCCTCCTCTGACTCTAGACCCTCACCCTGTCCTGTTGGTTCTCCCCTATGGGGCCCCTCAGCCACAGAGCTCTCAGGGCCTTAAACTTTCTGCCTCGCCCAACTCCCTTCCCTGAACTCCTCCAGCTTATTTTTTGCCCAAAAGAGTGAAAAGAAAGAACCGCAAGATGAATCCGTTAGTGTCTGAAATCCTGGCTTATCAGGCCCATAACAGGGACCCACAGTAGTCAGGGAAGTCACTACCTCACAAGGCAAACTGCCCATCTGAGTCACACCCTCCCATCTGGCCACCCTGCTGCCAGGTCATGTCCTTAACCCCAAGCTGGGGTCTTCCAAAGCTTCTGGGGTGGGAGGTGCATTCTCTCCTCTTGGGCCCTATTCTGGAAAGGATGTGCCCCCAGGGCCCTACAGCAGACCAGAAATGACCCTTCCTCAGAACCATTCACATAGGGCGGTTTTGTTCCATCAACCCCCTGAGGTGATCCTAAGCTGCCCTGTGTCCAGCCTTTTCATATGCCTCCTCCCTGATCACTACCAGCACTTTTGTGAGGCTGACTTCTAAGGTCTGATCCACCTGCCTAGGTCAGAAAGTGGGTCTGTGTCCTGGCTGATGAGAAGGTCCATGGGGACAGAGCCAAGTCTCAGTCACCTTGCAGCATCCATTCTGTACACACCAAGCACTCGCTGCTGCCTGCCTCCTGCCGAGGGCTCAACTCCCCTTCTCTAAGTGCCGTGGGCTGGTTGGGGGCGCCGACCACTGCAGGTCGGTTGGAGATAACTCCCTCCGTGTGACAACAGAGGGCGCTCCGAGAGAGCCCCCCCACCCCCCACGCCGCACCCTCCGCAGCTGCGCAAGACATCAAGACCGTCGCATACAGGTGAAGACACGCTCGGGGTCCGTATCCTAAGGCAGGTTACAGGACGTCTAGCTTCAAGTTAAGGAGCAGGAAGAAACCCCAGGTGCGTGGATACGATGGAAACGTTCCTCTCTTGCCTGAAGGGTGGCACCTGCCCCAACCTTCCAAGGCTGGCAGGGAATGTCAGGTCAGCCGGGGACAGGACAGCCACCGTTGCCTTATACATTCACACTCCGGGGCTTAAACGGGACTCAGAAGATGGGGCAAGATCTTTGCCCTCCGCATGTCGTAGTGGGTGTCCACAACCTCTCCAGGAGCCTATCCTGGGGTCCTCAGAGGGCTAGCTCACGCAGAGGTCCAATCTTTCTCTGCCTCCTCTCTGCTGTCCATTTTATCCTTCCCCTCAGCCCCACTTGGGTAGTTCAGGGACCAACGAGCTCACAAAGATGGCAGGGAACAAAGGAAGACCCCGCACGACACACAGGCACACATGAGTCTGGAAAGAGCCTGCTCCAGAAGCCCCCAGACCTGCTGTGCCACGCTGCCTGTACTCCCTGTCCTGCAGGTAACTGCAACTATCTCAGGCTTCAGGGAAAGAACTCTCCTTAAAAGGGAGCCCTCACCTGGGAGCCAGCGCCTCGGGTGGTGTTGAGCTCTCCGCTGGACCCTGCAGAGAAAGACCCACCAGCAGCAGAGGGCAGGAGGCCTCCCAGGGGAGAAGGCAGCAGCAAAGGGACAGGAGGGAAGGACGGATAAGATGGTGCCCACCTGCCCCAGTGGTGGGAATGCTGAGGTTATTCCTGCCAGTGGGCACTGCAGCCCTCCTTTGTGTGTGCAGAGCCAGCAGCCGGGTGGGATAAAGCGGGGGTTCTAATCAGGGTCCCCAAAGCTGGGGCAGCAAAGGCTGAAAGAGTCTTCCCGCCCCAGGCTGGGGCCCCCACAACCCAGGTTCCCCCCAGTAATGCGATAATTGAGTGGGATTTTCACAGAGAGAGAGGGAAAGTCCTGAGAACGACCAGCCAGCTCCCTCCTCTCCCTCCCTACCCCGGCTTCATTCCAGAACACTTCCCTCCTTCCCTCCAAGGGTAGGGGGCGTGCAGGGGCTCGGAGGAGGGGGGTAGGCAGACTGGGCATGCGTAGACAGAACTGGATCCCAAGGAAAGGGAATGTTCCTTCAAAGAGAATGGCTCTCACTCCTTGCTTGGGCAAGAGCTTCTGAGATGAGAGAGGGAGTGCTTCTCTGGGGACAGCCCTCCCAGCCCGATGGGCTCCCTTTGCAGATGGGGAAACCAAGGCACGGCAGTGGGACGTGGGCTGCTTTTGGTTCTCCAGCCAACACTAAACCCAATGGGACACCTTAGCCACTTCCCGCTACCCCCAGAAGCTATAAAGAAGTGGCCTCTCCCGTGATTCCCTCCAAACTCTGCAGGGCACATAATGGGCAGTGGACCGTCCACAGAAGAGACATACTTTGCCAGTCTGAAGTTGTAATTTCTAGTTCTCAGTAGCTTCTCAGAGACTCCTCAATTCGAAATGGTGACAAAAATTTCTGCTAAGTTTAAGTCTGGGTATTGCTGCAGCTGCTGGTGGGGAGTGGAGTGCTTCTTAACTGTTCCTGTTATCACGTGCCCCAGGAGAAAGCTAGGGACACTTCCAGACTTGGGTCTTCTCTCCCCAAATTACAAAATCCTCCAGAGGTCTCCCTGGGCTACAAAGGAGTATGCAAACGGCTGGGAGATGGTGAATTGGCCGGTCACTGTGTGTGACCTTGCATAAGTCACTTGGCCTCTCTGGTCTTCCCTTCTTCAGCAGCAAAATCAAATGCCTTACTTAGACTGTCAGAATTCCCTCTGGCTGAACAAGCTAGGCAGCCCTGGGCAGACCTCCCCACACGGTCAAGGACTTCCGCTGTCCTCTTCCTGGTGAAGTGTTGGGGAGAAAGTAAAGGGGTTAATCGCTGCACCGCAGAAAGAGCCCTGCTGTTTCCAAAGGTGACCTGCAGCCTCTGGCCCCAGGGCAGACTGCGCCCATCCCTGCCCTTCTATGTCTGCTGAGTCTGTCGGGCAGTCCGGGTCCCAGCAGAGGGAGTCCGACTGGATGGACGTGCTTCCGACAAAAATGCCCCGCTGCCAGGGGCCGTGTTATTGACGAGGGGGAGCCCCTAGCTCAGCCACCTCCGAGGGCAAAAGTCAGAGCACGACAGAGCAGGAACAGGAGCAAGAGGGGGACTTCGCGTCCCACCACGATCTCAGGGTTTGCAGAGGCTCAAACCCCAGGCGTGGCCCAAGAGTCTGGAGGGGCACAGCCCCGCAGCTCGGAGAGAGCGCTCGTAGACCACGAAGTCCCGGCCACCCCACGGCCGTCCAGCTGCCTGCCCATCTGGCAGAACAACACACACTTCACCTTCCAGGGGACACCTCGACACCCACCACCCAACAGGACCCCGCACACCCTCACAC